TAGCCCCCCCCCCCCCCCCCCCCCCCACACAACTATTATTTGATGCAGTTCAAAAGAATCTTCTTTTGTGGCCAAAATACCGTACCCTCAGGCATTTCATTTTTCAGAAGTCATTTATTTCCTGTTCAGTAGCCAGGTTTATGAAATTTCTCTCCAGGGTTGAGTTGCCCAGCTGGTGTGCACAACACTCGAGGTGCCCTCGTCATCTGCATTACATGCCTGCCAACACTGTGACTTCCCTCGGTCTTCGGGGGGCTACATGGCATCCAGGCAGCTGGAGCTTCAGGCAGGGGAAGCAGCCTGCGTGTACTCTGGTGGGTACTTGGATATCACCCCTTTACGTATGTGACATTATGTGCTTAAGGCACTGGAAGGCACCGAGTACTGCCTCACCTGAGACTTGGCTGCTCTATCTTCCACTTGGCTTTTCACTGCCTGACCTCCCAGCCTCCAGCCCCATAGTTTTGGGAACAAATTCTGATTTCCATCAGGCAGCCTTCTTTTTTCCAGTCAGTTTAGGATTTGCTGGCCTGCAGTCAGGGACCAGGCAAGGGCCATAGTCTGGTAGCTCAGACTCCCTTTAAAGCAAAACTAGCAATCTACTGAACAAGAGATTATTCAACTAGCATTAAGCTGGGGTGGATGAATAAAGATAACACAGTCTATTAATTTTTTTATTTTGATATATCAACTTATTACAAGCAAGGACCAGAGAGTGTGGCCTTAACTTTATATATAATTTTCCCCCCCTTTCAGGGTACCATGTAGTATAATTTATAGTTTCCTGACATAGACGTTGAAGACAAAATTGGTAAACAAAGTTTAAAAGATAGATTGCATATATTGATTTCTAAAAGAATTTTTAAATAAGGGTCAGGCAGTGGTACAGTGGTAATGCAACTGGACCTACATGGGGAAGGTCATGGGTTCATGTCCTAGGACCTCCCTCTAGGGCAGGTCTGTGGACATGCTGGCATGTGCTCCCATGATCCAGGATAGCTGAGACTGGGTGTGGATTGTGGTAATGAAGGCTCTTGGTGGATGCCTGTCTTTCTGCCTCTCTCTCTCCCTCATGGAAGAAATAAACTTTTAAAAAGCACACTAGGGGCCAGCGGGTGACACGGTGGTTAAGGGCACTGGACTCCCACATGGCTGAACACGGTTTGAGTCCTGGACTTGGCAGCTTGCTTTCTTACTCTTACTTGCTCTTACTCTGCCCCTCATTGGTCAAATTAAAAATGAATGAATAAATAAAGTTAAATAAAAATTAATTCTTTACAAAAATAAAGCATACTGAATAAAATGTTTGCCCCCATAGGCAAAGTAATCTGCATGAAGACAGGCACTGGTGTGGTTTGTAGAAAGGATACTGAACTCGGCCGATGCCATCTTGTCCCAGCTCTGCTAGCTTTTCTGGTTTTTTCCCTTCCCTTCCCTTCCCTTTTCTTCCCTTCCCTTCCCTTCCCTTCCCTTCCCTTCCCTTCCCTTCCCTTCCCTCCTCTCCTCTCCTCTCCTCTCCTCTCCTTTCTTCTCCCGCTCCCTCTCCCTCTCTCTCTCTTTCTCTCTCTCTCTCTCTCTCCTCTCTTTCTTTAAGATTTTTGCCACAAGGTGCATGCTTACTGGAGAGATACAGAGAGAGGTAAACTGACCACCAGTGAGGATGGTCATGCTGCAATTGCTTCTCCTCCATTCTCCTCTTGGGATTTTGGGCACACAAATGCATGCTCCTGGTGTGATTCTTAGGCCACTGGGTCCAGGACTATAACCACATTTGGCTATACGGCAATACAGTGCCTTAACCACCACGCCATACCACTTGCTGGCCCTATCTGTTATCTTATTTTCATATGACCTCAGGACAGTTATTTTACCTCATTGACCTTTAATTTTCTCATTCCAAAGTGACACAATAATACTTGCCACACCTACCCTAAAGGGACATTGTGCAAACAACATGACATGCCTGAAGATCTGAAAATGCTATAGGGCATTCTTACAATGTGGGAAAAATGAGCTTAGGCACTTTGAGGTTAGTACGTAGTTTAGGTGAAATTCTGTTGTAAGGATTATTACCACTATGATGATTTTCTTTTTACATTTTAACTATAATACAGAATTATCAGTAAGTTGTATATGATTTCATACATATAGGATTATTAAAATCTAGCTATAAAGTGATCATGTTTACTCTCAAATATAAGATTTATTCATTTTAGAGTTGATTTAATATAATATAAATAAACTATAGAAACCAGTATCTTAGAACTCTCACTATATTTATAATGAAAATTTTTATTTAAAAGAAATTTCTGGAGTCTTAGCCAGTGGAAGGTAATGTGGTGATTAAGGTGGAATCCACAGTTCGAGTGTCAGACCTGGAGGCTTAAAATTACACCAGGCATGTGTATGCAAATGCTCAAAATCCAGAGAGGAGAATGGAAGGGAAGGGATTACAGCATGGTCATACCTCTTTGGTGGAGGTGATTTCTCACTTTCTATCTCTCTGTCTCTCTCCAGTGAACACATGTGTCCTACAGCAAAAACCTAATATGTGTGTATACCAGTTTCTGTACTGCAACATACTTGAACCATGCCAATGTCTAACTTTTATATAATCTACATTATTATATAAGCAAGAGATTCAGTTGCCTAAGCATAATACAGCAACCTAATATCATTTTTAGCTGAATCTCAAATGCTGAGGCCATATATTAAAAGCTATAATTATTGTACTATATTTACTTATTTAAAAATTTATTCAAATTCTTTCCATTCTTAACATTTTAGATTCATCATTATTAGAGCCACTTTAAAGTGATTTAACTTGCTATTATTATTATTTTTAATGTCAGAAGGTGTAAGCGCGCTCATTACAGTGTGAAAGAGAATCCTCCCAACAGGGCTGGCCAGACCATAATCTTTTTAATTCCACTTTTCTATCTGAAAAGAATCCTGGACAGGTGTGTTATAGGATTCAAATTGTGGTTGGCCACGTGGAATCTGGTCTCTTCAAACAGTGCTCTTAACTGTTGTGCTTGGTGGCCAGCCCTGTTATATATAGTGTTTGTAATACAGAGGTCTGAGCCTCTAATAAGACTAATAGATTCTACATCTATTTTCTTTTCTTTTTGTCTTTTTTTAACTTTTTGCCATAAGGCTCATTAACTCTCCAAAGAGCGAGGGATTATGGGCATGCTACAATCCCTTCTCCATTTTCTTCTCTGGATTTTGGGCATGCACACACATGTGCCCAGTATGGTTTTAAATTTTTTTTTAATTTTAAAAAGAATAACTTATTTATTTAATTTTATTTGTTATTATTATTTTTAAATTTGACCAGAGAGAGAGAAAGGGAAAGTGAGAAAGCAAGTCACCAGGTCTGGGACTTGAATCAGAGTTGGCCATGTGGGAGTCCAGTGCCCTTAACTGCCACACCACCTGCTGCCCCCCCCCCCCTAGCTCGCCCCCCGCCCGCCCCCCCCCCCCCCCTTAGTGTGTTTTTTAAGCTACCAGGTTCAGACTTGAACAATGCAGTCAGCCATATGTGGGATCCAGTGCCTTAACCATCATGTCACTTGCTGGTCCACATTTCTTTTCCCCTGACTTGCAGAAAGATTATTAATTTTTATTTTATCAAGATTGTGAGCAAATTTCAAAACAGTAGGTATTGTTCATCCTCACTCAGAAAGCACAGACCAAGTACAATTAATATCATTCATTTCATTATACAAGTACATTTTTCTTTTTTGCTTTAATTGAAAGGTATCTATTCATGAATACAAAATAGGAAATGACTAATTCAGACTTAATTTGGTTTGATTCACAAGTAGTTAAGAGCATTTGATCTCTAGTAGAAAATAAAAGGAATACTTGGTGGTAATAAATTTATAATGAAGTTGTTAAACGAAATTTACTTCTTACTAAGTTATCCCTTACTAGTAAAGGTTTAAGTTCTTTTCAGGGTTATACAAAATTAAACTTAGCAGATTTCCGCAAGGTCATCGCTCTGCTGTGGGCTTACCTGGCTTCACAGGAAGTATCAGCTGATGATGAAGAAAAGGGCATGGTGAGCATTCATCAGGCTCTGAGTATTCCATTTGTCTTTGTTTTTAAAAGTGAGCTGAGACCCAGAGTCATCCCTCAGACTATTAGAGACAGAGACAGCCTGGGTAATTCACTAGGAACTTTGATGTTTGAACAGAGAGTGAGAGCAGCACTTATTACTGTCAGCAGACAGGACCTAAAAGGAGAGATTTAAAAAAATAAGTTAATTGAAATAAAATAGATACATTTAACAAAAACTCAAATTGTGTTTACCATCTACCTAGTTCTCCCATGCTCCATAGAGACATTCACTCATTTAACTTAATCCTCACAATAACAGCTATGCCAATGAAGCCTGGAACAATAGATGAAGTTGAGCTTTACTCCAGAGGAGTACGAATCAGTCTTAACAAGCATGGTGGTATGTTTGCTGAACAAGACAAACCAAAACAGATGTGGCTAAAATCAGGAGAGATGGCAATGGCAGTCTCCTATACCACACGGGCCAATTTGTACATAGATCCCACATTTCTTAAAATAAGATTACTCATCAACTTCTATGAACTTAACACTTCCCTCTTTGTTTTGTAGTAAGCTTATCTTCAAAAAAAAAAAAAAAAAAAGTCAATCTTGCCTGAGAATTGTCCATTGCAAGGCCAGCAAAGGTATGCAGCTCTCTCTAGACTGGAGACATGGTGTTATTAACTTTGTAAACAACCAGTCCAATGAGTGCAAACCAAGAGATGCAAAGTAGGAGCCAGCAGGTGGCCTAGTGGTGAAGGCACTGGTCTCCTACATGGCTGACTATGGTTCAAGTCCTGGACTGATGACTTGAGATACACGTTGGGTGTGTGTGAGTGGGAGAATGGAAGAGAAGGGATTGTGGTGTGGCCACCTTCCCTTTCTCTCTCCTGGTCTCTCCAGTGGACGCAGGCACCCTATTACAAAAAAGTATTACAAAAAAGAGAGATGAAAGGCCAGCAGGTTTGAGGAGAGAAATACCATCATTTTTACTTCCTCACCATTCTTGATATTCTTTTGCTACCAGTGTTTTTTTTTTTAATGAATTTTCTTTCATTTCAATTTTCTTTCATACTGCTCTATGTTGCATTTCAAATTCCCCTTACGCATTTAAAAATGTTAGTGTCATTACCATTCACATTAAAAATCGAAATAAAGAAGTTGAGCAACTTGTAAGTACTTAAAAGGAAACTAAACTACACAAAAATTAATTTGAACTTGGTGATTCCATCCAGGGAACTAAAGGGAAGTATGGTAACCTCTTGTGTACCAGATGCTATGCTTACTTAACATTTTACACAATTCTCCCAATTTATTTCGCAGTCTTGCAAGACAGTATTACATCCATTCCTAGAGGGGAAACAGAGGTTTTTAAAGAGTAGTAGCTTGCACGGGCCACGCAGGTAGTAAAGCCTGGGTGTACATGCTCAGTTGTTTGACGCTCCCCTTTGCATGGCGGTGGCTCAGGGTGGTCTAAGCCATGAGTATCCTGGCGAGAAGGGACCAAAGACTTGATTGCTGGCAGTTAAGTTCGGTCTGGAAATGCTAGGCCAAGGATGGCTGCAGAGCACCTGACCGCTTCCTTCATAATTAAGTTGAAAAAAGAAATATCTTCGCGCGTGTGTGTGTGCGCGCGCACAAACACACACACACACACACACACACACGTGCAAAAAAAACAAGACTAAGGACTCGGCCTAATTTCAACAGCAGGAAGGAGCACTTGAACAAGGGGTAGACCATGGCCAACCGAGGGGGAAGATTAAACCACAGGGCGGGTTACCTGTCTAGGCCAGACTGGGCTGCGGTGCTCAAGGGCCTACTGGCTGCACGAAAGCCCCTTCAGCCCCGCGCGGACAGCCAGCCACAGTAGGACTCCCGCTGGTCACCTTCTCACGTGAAGGCAAGTCCGAGGTTATACACAGGCCCATTTCACATACCGACGGCCTGTTTCTAAACCAAGGGCAGGACTGGGGGACAGGAGGGGTGTTCATGAACGCAGATGGGAAATACACCTTGCTCCCGGGGCGAGGATTTTGGGAGGAAATTGCACCACCCAAGTCTCTTCCTCGAGACGCCCTTCATCATCGATTCCCAGGATGGAAGTTATCCCAGGCGCAGGACACGTCCCTGAGCCCCGGGCAGCACGGCGAGCGCAGGGTGGCCTGGTGGGCAGGGGCGGCGATGACGCAGGCGGCCGTGGGGGCCCAGGTCCTGGCGCGCGGGGGCAGGGGGTTGCTCGGCGTGCTGCGCGGACCAATCAGGACGCGCGGTGTTTCCGACGAGGGGCGGACGCGGGGCTCCAGGTTTCCGAGGGCCGCGGCGCAGCGCCGCCTGCCGAGATCCAGGGAGCGCGCGGAGGCCGCGGGG